GTAGGCCTAGCAGTTTTATAGCCTGGCTCCACTTACTGTTCACTCTGTGCTTCCTGATTTCAAATGAAATGTGACTAGCTGCCTCCCACTTCTTCTGCCATGCCTTCTTCATCATAATGGGCTATAGAATAACCTAAAAACGTAAGCCAAAATCAACCCTTTTTCCCTTGTTTATTGTGAGGTATTTCATCATAGCAATGAGAAAAGTAACCAATACATAAATATTTACTGATGACAACTGTCTTCAAATTATATTCTTGCCTTTCTCTTTTGAACACCCTGTAATCACTGTTGAGATCAAGTTCACCAGTGACCTCAGTATTACAAAATTCAATTATCAATTCTTAGTCTTCATTAAATTTGCCATATCTTCAGTGTTTGACCTAGTGACCACTCTTCCTTGAATCATCTTCTCTTGACTTCCAGGAACCATTCTTAGATAATTTTCTTCCTTCGTCTCTTATTTCTTCTCAATCCCTTTAAATTGAATCCTCAACCTGAACTCTAGACTCCAGAGATTGGAGTGTTGGGGGGTTCATTCCCTGAATCTTATCTTCTTTCTAACTAAACTGATCTCTAAGTGATCTTCTCATCTCAAAGCTACCAAAGGTCTCTGAGCCAAACATCTTTCTTATGAACTCCAGGTTAGTATTTCCTGCTCTATTTGACATCTCCTATTGGATATTGAATGGGCCCTTGTCTTACTCTATTTACATTGTTGTAAAGAAATTACCATGTACTGAGTCACTTATATTCTGGGGGCTTGGAATTCCAAGATCAAGCTGATGGTGGTATCTGGTAAGGGCCCATTTGCTTGTAGATGGCACTTTCTGTGGCTCACATGGTAGAAGAGGTGAGAGGCTGCACACAAGCCTCTTTTATAAGGGTACTCACGAATTCATGGTGATTGATCTAATCACTCCCTCCGCAAAGCTCTAAAGTTCTCCTAAAACCATCACCTTGGTGGTTGGAGACTCAACATATTTCTTGGTGAAGGAACATTTAGACCTCAGACATGAAGTTCAAAAGTAAACCTTTGATACATCACCCTAAAATCCACACCTTACCCCATAATCTTTCTCATCTCAGCTAAATAGCAACGCCATTACTCTAGACACTCAGGCCAAAATCCATTATGCTGTCTTGTACTCTGTACCTTGTCTCATGCTTAACACGTATTCTTGTCACTAAATTCTGTGCATTGTATCTCTCATAATCCATTCTGTTTGACCATTTCTCATTGGTTCTCATATCACTGCTGACCTTCCATTTTCCCACCCTTCTTGAAGCCACCATCATCTCTCACCTGGATTCCTATGTTAAGTCTCTTAGATGATTTGGCTGATTTCCACCTTTCCTTCAGTTGATTCGCATCATAGCAGCTGCAGTTGTTTCAAATCAATGTTAGATTATATTGCATTCTGCTGGATAATATCACTTCTTATTCAATAAAAGCCAAAGCTGGTACAGTACCCTTTAAAGTCCCAATTATCTCAGTGCCACATTAATTCTCTGAATCTATCTCCTACTACTTTTATGCATGTTTTCAAATACCTAGCTACTACAATGGTCCCCTTGCTAGTCCCTCAAACACGTCAGGTATGATCTAGTCTCAGGATCTATATACAATCTTTCACTGCCATAAATGTTCTACATTCAGATAGATGTCAAACTAGGCTTCTAATTTCCTTCTGGTCTTTATTCAAGGTTCACCTGCCTAGGCCACTCTATCTGAAACTTTTATTTCTCTAACAAAATCACCTTATCTCTATTTTCTTCTTTATTTTTCTTCTCAGAATTTATAATGTAACATCTTTCACATCTTATCAACTCAAAATGCCACAGGAAAATATTGTAGGAGTATATTCTTCACAGTTCTCAAGGGTATAAAATCCAAGATCAAGGCTTACGTGCAATTTCCGTGCCTCGTACCTTTGCAGCTCATATGACCTCTACTTTGTGCCATCACACACGGGGTGGGGGAAGAGACAGAAAGAGAGTTAGAGAGAGGATCTTTTCTGGTGTCATCGGTTTTTGAAAGGGCATTAATCTCAGCATATGAATTTCTGGGGAGACACATTGTCCACAATGCTACATTTGTATTATTGTACGTCTTAGTGACTAAATCCATAATATTACGTATACAGTAGTATATGTCTGACTGAACTTGTTTATTGTCTGCCTTCCTCCCCGAAATAAATGTTTTATAAAGTTTAGGATTTGTGTTCATTCTGTTGATTATTTTAATCCTTGTGTTTTGAGCATTGCTTGGCATATGGCAGGGGCTCAATAAATATTTACTGATTAACTGGATGAACTAAACAAATTAATTGTAGCTTGTGATATGCACTAGGCAGAAAAGAGACAAACTGGCCAGAATGTAGGCAATCAACACTGGCTACCTATTAAAATCACCTAGGAAGTATTTGCAAATACAGAGGCCTGGGATTCAAACCCAAATTTTGATTTTCTTGGTCTAGAAGGGGCCTGGTCGCTGTTTTATTTTGAATGTTCTCCGAGAGATTCTCAATGTGAAGTGAAATTGAGAACCAATGGATTTGACAATAATTGGAAGCATGGGAACCTACTGGAAATAAGATATGAAGGGAAAACTTCGCATCTTTTTCGGAGATGGTATCATTTATATGAGAACAAGAAGGACAAAAGCAAACATGGAATAATTGGGGCAAGGAAGAGTCTCAGTTCCTGGCAAAGGGTCAGAATAAGAGGGAAGACACTGGAGTACAAGTGAGTTTGGTGTGTTCTCAGAACAAATAGCTTCTGTAGGCAATGCAGAGCAGGAAAGAGCCAAACACGAAGAGATTAGAAAGATACACAGGAGCTACATTGTATTAGGATTTGTAAACCATGCAAAGTAAAAGGAGATCCTCCTTCATGAGGTAAGAACTGTGAGAGGATTTTGAGGAGACGAATTATGTCATCTTAATTAATGTACTATGTGAAGGCATCCGTGAAAACAGAGAAACGACTCTAGAGGATATTTTGGTAATCCAGTAGCCTGAACTGGGGTGAAGGCTAATGACGCTGTCTTTCATCTAAACAGCAGAACCCAGAGAGTGGTATACAAATCCATTCTGCTCAAGTAAACTCATACACATGGCCAGTGGTTTCAGAAAACCTTTCCAATATTAACATTCTGTACATAGCTAGTTCTGTGATCAGTGGCTTCAGAGGATGGAATATATACCCTGTCTTTCCTGGTTATTGTTTAGTGGAAAAGATACTTTCTAACTAGTAAATAATCTAATCTGAAAACTTTTTTTTAAAACGATGATGGTATCTTCTCACATAAAATTTAAAGAACACCACTAATCTGAAGTCTTATTTCTTTTCTGCTTTCTGGGGGAGAGAGAGTAGAGGGAGAACCCTGCATTCCAGGGAGATTATAAATTATAGAAGGAGGTAAAGACATGAACACAAATAGAAGCAACAGATGAGAAAACAAATTAATTATCCAGAGGGAAATATAAGCACAGTCAGTAAGTGCTATCTCACCTTATGCTGAGCACTGCCATGTACTTTACACATGTTGTCATTTAATCTCCATCAAAACTCCATGGTGTGGGAATATGATAACCCATGGTGATGATGACAGTACTAGCGACTAGCACTTACTAACTGCTTAATGTCGTCAGTCATTAGGCAAGGTGTTCTGATATATGTGACTTAGGTAAACATTCATTCTGTAGATGAGGATAACTAAGAACAAACAGAATAAATAATTTATGCAAGGTCAGAAAGCTAGTCAGTTTTTACAGGAGTTCACAGCAGATGGCTCCTACCATATTCTAGAAACTAGGGGAAGATGTCATGGAGGAGTACATGTGGAGATAAAGGAACGTGGTATAAAGGGACTAGAAAATGGCCCCTTTTGATCAGAGTTGAGGATGTATAATGGGGAATGGTGGCTCAATGGCAAAGCAGTTCTGGCCCTCATTGCTTCTAATCACCTCACTTGTGCTTCCCAGAACCTGTAACCTTTGATCAAACCTGTCTGTCACTCAGATCTTCATCTTGGGATGCCTTGATTTTCTCTGCTTTGAACTCAGATATTCTTAACCCCACTCCAAGTTAGCACAAAAAAATACATTGTCGAACTCAAACCCTGAGGAATATTAAATTGGCAGGTCTGGCTCATAATATATTAGTAAATAGATAGCTCACTCCATTATATTTCTTCTTTCTTAGGTGGAAACAGCCTTTGGGCATTTAGGACACTGACAAAGATTGGACAAAACAGGATAGGGAAAACAGATGAAAAAACAAGCAGCACTCGGCACAGCTCATCAGACCAGCAAAAATTTTCATCTCACAATATGACATAACGAGAAAATTCGTTAATGATCTAAATGTATATCAATATGAGATTGCTGAGATATGAAGAAGCCAAAACAAAGAACACTGCATATTGGAAACAAAGTAAAACTGTCTGTTCTGACAGGGAAGGATGTTACCAAAAGACTATAAGGGGAAAAGCAAGCAGTCATGCAGCACTCCCATTCAAATCCTAGACCTGTGTTTATATATGTACAAATCCATCCAATGGTATCTGGTAGAGTACACAGAACTATATATGAACTTCTTTCATTCTTTAATTTGTATATTTGTGCATGCTGTTGACTTTTATTACAAATCCATAATACTTTTATAAAATTTTAAAAAACCTATGCTTGTATTTACATTGTGCAAAATAAACTAAAACATTCCAGATCATCCTCTGCCATTCTATCTGTTGTAACAACATTTTGTCCATGTTGACTTAAGCACTGTACTTAAAACTGTCTCCTATAAATTTCCCATGAATGAACAAAATAAAACAATAATATATTAACCAGATTATAATATAGCTAAGTAGAGCGGCAATTTATTAAAGAATTTTACCCACAGCATAGGTGGCAACCCATAAAATGTCTCCAGAGAAGGTCCACAGGGCTTTTCCAACTTTATTGATAATTTAAATGATACATAACTGTACTTACCACGTCTGAAGATGACTCAAAGCTGGCAGAGTGTCAAATACGTTGAAGAACAAAATTGAGATTCAAAGTGAGTTCAGATAGGCTGGAATACTGGGCTAAAATTAAAAAGGTGAAATTTAAATAAGATAAAGAAAATACTCATTTAAAAACTTAAACAATCCATTGTGTGAGGCCAAAAAAAGGCATGATATCTCAGAAACAGCACATATACAAATCAACCAACCAACTGAAAGAGGATCAAGGCTTGACTTGATCCACAAACACAATTTGAGCCAAGAGTTTTATGGAGGTAGAATACTTAGCTGGTAAAATGTCAGAGTACAATTTTAAGCAATATTAATTAAAGTAAAGTTTCTGGATCCTAAATGTGATCATTGTCCTGCATCCTCCAATATTTCATCCTAGAACTGGCTGTTTACTTCCAGATATCACATTTTTGGAGGGTCACCCCAAAAGTGTAACACCTCCTGAGAAGGAAAGAAACAAGTTCATGACAGGAAAGTCTTTTGAAGAGACTTGGGGCCTGTGAAGTAAGGAGGTTATATACAGGGTGCCCACCTGCCTTCAATTATCTAGTGCTTTCCGGAAAAATTATGCCCTTATTCTGGGCTACTCAGGTGAAAGGACTACTGCCACCCAGTGGTGTCAAGGAGGCAGATGCTGCAGTAAACCTGCCCAAAGGCTTTTCTGACCTTGAGAAGGTCCTATTAGAGGCTGAGCTGGCTGGTAAGGCAGAGAGGATTTCAAGTCTAGCTGAATGAACAGATGCCTGTACCAGAATAACCTCAATTAGGCCTCTTTGGCTCTCAAAGACTACATTTCTTTTCCCCTAGTCACTGTGTCATCACCGCTTTCTGAGCCCCTATCCTGTACAATGAGGCTACTTTCTGCAGCCCACACAGTGTTGATGACAAACTTTGTAGGAGCTGCTGGGCTGCTGCTCCCTTCATTATTATCCAAGGCCTAAAGTGGTTGGGGGAGAGGGCAGAACCCATTGCTTATAGGAGGAACGGATAACTGATGTAAGTTGAATCAGGATCCTCCTCCTTATAAATAACATTCATCAGGATAACCTACAAAACCCATCTGAGCCATCTGGCCTCAATGTTCTCCTCTCTGCTCTATCCTATTACCATGCCACTCAGGCAATGTACTTCTGTAACACAGATTTCTCTGTGCTTTCTGAAATGGCAGACATGCTCCTGACTGGGGAATGAGTTCTTGCTATTCTTTCTGCTTACAACATTTTTCCCTGAAGTACCTGTAAGGCTCAGTCTGTTACTGCATTCAAGGATGCATTCAGATCATCTACTCACTCGCTTTCCCTTTATACAATTATAAGGCTTTCCCTTTATACAATTATTTCCTTGTATACAGGCTTCTACACACACACACACACACACACACACACACACACACACACGACCACTTTGAAACTACTTATCACCACATCTAAATTCCCCATAGTATTTAATATAATGTATTATACATTTTATATTTTATCTTGTTTTCTTATCTCCCTCTATAGGGCTTTAAGTTTTTTATACAAACTTCCTATGTCTGTCCTCTTTGTGTGTGTGTGTGTGTGTGTGTGTGTGTAGTTTCTCAGCTTATAGAACACTTGTAAGCACATAGTAAGTACTCAAAAAATGTTTACTGAAATGCATACATACTTGAAGCTTTTTTTGAAGTTTTGAAATTTTGGTTTCCTCAACAAAAGAAAATTAATGTCAGGAAAAATTTTAAATTAAAAAAGAAATTAAATTTCAGTTTTAAAACTGGATTCTGAACTGACAATAACGAATTGTATATTAAGTGTAAGATCTGAGATGTTTTTGTGTATTTTCTCAACTTACTTGATTTGTTATGCAATTAAATTATATTATTGATCAACTGGTGATAATAATTGTAGAGCTAATATCAGTTGAGTGCTTACCAAGTACCATCAGTATGACAACCACTTTACTTGATTAAGATATTTAATCCCCACAATAGTCCTTTGAAGTTGGTACAACCATCATTTCTATTTTAAAGACAGGAAACCGAAAAAAAAAAGGAGGTAATATATCCTGCCAAAGGTTACTCAAGTAACATCTGACAAATTTCAGCGCCCATGTTATTAATCCTTGTCATCAAGGTAAGATGAAAACTGGTGGTGATGATAATAATAAGAGCTAATATTGTTAGCATTAATCAAGTATCAGGCACTGTGTTGAATGATTACCACAGATCATCTCATTTAAAGCTCAGAACAGCCTTATACATATACTACTTTTATATGCCCATCTTTATTTTTATTTTTATTTTATGTGTATGAGTGTATTGCCTGCATGTATGTGAGTGCACCTGTGTCGTGCAGTGCCGCAGAGGTCAGAAGAGGGCTTTAGATTTCCCTGGAACTGGAGTTAAGGACGGTTCGGAGCTGCCCTGTGGGTGCTAGGAATCAAACCCGGGTCCTCTGCAAGAGCAGTCAGTGCTCTTAACCACTGAGCTAAACCACCTATAATATACTCAGCCATGTACATTCCCATTTAGCGTCTGCCTTGGCTTCATGAGAAGTATACTTTCATTCTTGTTCTGTATTCTAGGCCAGCAAGGAAGCTGGAGAAGTTGGCAAAAATTTACTAGTTGACACTTGAGCTCTCCATTTTCTGATTAGGCCTCTAACACACATAGAGATTTTAGTTCTCACTTGTCCTGTTGTCCGTCCTGAGACTATCCCCCTTCTCCTTCTTGCTTTCCCTATCTGACCAATTGTTTTCCCAAATAATAGAAATGTAATTCTCTCCAGAAGTCACTCAGTAGTCTTTCCACTGTGACCTCATTCATCATGCAATTTGTATACTCCACAGCCATGTTTAGTTCTACAGTACTGGCTCTCTTTCTGCTAAGTTGTGTCTTTCCAGTTAGACTACATATCAAGAAAGCAGATGAGTCCTGTAATCCTTGGGATGCCTTAAATCAATAGAATATTTACATAATTATTATGTTGATTTAACAATAATGTTCTACCCTCCTGAGTGTACAAATGTTCTCTTTTCAAGGCACTCTCATGCATATTATTTCACTTCGGCCTCACAGCAGACCTGAGAGATAAGATAAGCAGGTCTTACTTTTCCCATGCTTACAGTTAAGGTAGTTAGGAGCCAGGGAGGTTAAATAAGTTGTCTCAAGTCACATGTCAGAGAACTGAGACTAGCTCCTGGGACTTTGTACCCCAGAGTCTCTGTGCTAGACCACACTTATTCTACTGGAAAGCCACGTGTGTGTGCGGGGGGGGGGGGGCAGTGCTAACAGCCTTCCTATAAAGGACATGTCACTAGAAGTCCCCAATTTATAAGGCAACTCATAGCTGGAATGTTTCATAAGATTATGACACATACTTCTATGATCATAAGTTGATGAGGGCTGCAAATTTTCTTTGGTGTAGTGTGGTAAATATTTTTTTTATTTGTTAGCCAACATGGAAAACTTAGATGACTTTACATAAATATGCAGATATCAAAGTTCTCTACAAAAATGAGATCTGGTTTAAAAAGTTAATCCCTCAGCTCTCAGCAGTGAGGCTTCCTTCAGTGAGGCTTCCTTACCAATGCACACGGAAGGCCACAACTGGCCAAGTTTTAAAGAATAGGAGACTGAACAGTGTGTGTGTCCCTGGATAGGACTCCTATATTGAACCTCACCCACCCATGGCTCAGGGACCATTACAAAAGAGGGGGTAGAAAGAATTTAAGAACTGGGGATGTTCATGAACATAGGGAAGCAATGACTTTCAGGCCACTGGAAGCTTGCACATGTGAACTAGTGGCAATGGTGGCATTGAGCCCAGGACCCATGCCACCTCAATCAGACAAGGACCCAGAGTGGAGGACTGGCCCTAGAATGGGAACTATTGGACTGATTACTATTGGGTGAGGGAGAGTATGCCTTACTTACAATCTCTAGAAAGCCTGACTAGACCCCAGTGGATGAATTTGCACTGAATGACATCTGGGCACAAATGCCTGACTATAAGGTCTTAACATGTATAGAAAAATACATAAGGTCTGGTGGGGGATTAGGAGGCATGGACAGGGAAGAGGATCTAAATTTGATTAAGAACTGTTGTATGAAATGTATAAAAGGTCAATAAAACTTTAAAAAATGGAATTCTTAAGCCAAGAATGATAGTACAATACTGTAATAGCAGTCTTAGGAAGCTGAAGCAGGAGATCAGGAGATTGACACCGGCCTATGCTGCTAGCAAAACCTGTCTTTTATAAAAGCAAGATTGCATATAAACTTTGATTTTTAATCTTCTAGGAAAAAAAAAGATCTGGGCACATAAGGTCTTTTGTCATCTGTTTACTCCTTATAATAAAGTGTAGTAAATAGTGTGATGATTACTACGGGGGAAGATATAAACTCATGTAGGAATTCTGCAGCTCTGAAGTGATATGGTTGGCGATCCTACAAGAGCAATAGTTACACAGAGGTGAACAATAGTTACACAGAGGTACACAGAAAGCCTTCAGTGATCAAGTGACCACATTGCCACAGGATCACCACACACTAGAACACAACAGTGGCTGCTCTATTTATGCAACCCATGTGGATAAAAAGGTAAGGGCATTAATATCTTCCACATACCAAGTACACAGTAAAAGGACAATAATGTAGGGCAATGTGAATTGAAATAGAGTTTTCAGGCCTGGATGAATGGTTCAGTCAGTAAGGTGCTTGCTGCATAAGCATGAGGACTTGAATTCAGATCCCCAGCACCCACGTAAAACACTGGGTATGGTGGTACAGGACCTGTAATCCTGGTGCTTGGGAGGACCCCTCTAGCTGGTCAGCTAGTTTAGCCAAATCAATGAACTTTAAGTTCAGTGAGAGACCCTGTCTCAAAAAATAAGGTGGAAAATAACAGAGGAAGATATCCAAATTCAACTGCTGGCTTCTACATGCATGTGAAAATATGTGCAGGGACACGTTCACATATGTGCATGCACTTCTGTACACACACACGCACACTGACCTGTACATACACACATAAACCACATACACACAGTATTAACAAAACAGCTTTTCAGCAAATTATTTTAGTTCACAA